AGTATTATTCAATTTAACTGCTGTACTTTTATCTTATAGAATATGTTTATTAGAAATTTAGGGAGAGCCAATTACAATTCTCAGCCAGAATGTTCCACTAATTTACCAAAAGTCCCAGGGTTCCACGGGATGTTGTCATGGTAGTTAAAATGGAATAATAGTGCTATCGTTGTGTGATATGAATGTGCATTATGTCTCTGATAAGAACTCTGTATTAGGAATGTCACTACAGACAGAGCTCTGCCATGTAGTTCTATAGGTCACACCACTCTTGGAAATCACTATTAGAACTTTACTCTCCATTTTAAATTGGGTCATTGCTGAATCAGAGACATCTCAAATATCCACTCAGCTGTATAAAATCCACATTGAAGTGGATTATCTGGCAGTGTTGATTCAGATAATCCAGTTCAGAGCAGATATTGTGGATTATCTGTATTGATAGTCTGGGTTATATGGCAATGTGGATGGACCCCAAGTGGCCTAATACCCTGAAGGCATCAGACTGGGGGCCCTTCAACACAGCCCTATATCCCAGAATATCAAGGCAGAAAATCCCACAGTATCTGCTTTGAACTGGGTTATTTGAGTCCACACTCAGATAATGTGGGATTTTCCGCCTTGATATTTTGGGATATAGGGCTGTGTGGAAGCTAAGCAAGATCATCTTTAATTTAATGGGAGATTGCTAATGAATGAAGGTGCTATATTGACACCTCAGAGCATTTTTTGCTAAAGGAAACAGTATGAAATTAATAGGGTTGCCATAAAATTAAGAGGTGACTTAAAGATACACACATGTTAATATTAACACCAGGAATTGAATGCAAAGGCTCACAGGCATCCAGTACAATGGTTATGGAGCAGGTGCCACAAGCTTTTGGTGCTTCTGTCACCAGTTGAGTAGCAGTTCTTGGCACAAAAATGTAGAATGTGGACTGTCATCAAAGGAGTCTCCAGGCCCTTCCACACAGCCATATAACCCAGAATATCAAGGCAGAAAATCTCACAATATCCGCTTTGAACTGGGTTATCTGAGTCCACACTGCTATATATTCCAGTTCAAAGCAAATATTGTGGGATTTTTTGCCTTGATATTCTGGGTTATATGGCTGTGGGGAAGGGTCCGGAGACTCCTTTGATGGTAGTCTGCATTCTCCATTTCTGGCTGTGTTATATGGCCATGTGGAGAACCAAAGTCCCATTAATTTCTTAGATTGATTCTAAATGGATTTTGTCTGGGTTAAGTTTGTGCTCTTTCAGCTCCGTATGAATGCACTTTTATTCATCCAGGCCATTTAATTGGTGCAGTTTGTTTTTTGTCCAATGCGCCCAATTTGAAAAGAAAATTGTGTTTTTTAAAGATTATTTTTAATTTGAATAATTTGTATTATTTTTCTGCTCTGTTTTTGTTTTATTTGTTTATGAGCTGTGTAGAAGATTATTGTTTTGGAGCAGGTGTGTGTAATTAAATTATGTTGCTTGATGTGATCTGTTTTGATGTAATTTTGGGTTGTTGTGTGTTTTCTGGGCTGTATGGCTATGGTCCACAAGCATTCTCTCCTGACGTTTTGCCTGCACCATATGACCCCTATATCTGTAGGATTGGCACCTGTGGTTTCTCTTACCCATGTCCAAAATATGTTATCTCTAGGCATTTCCTAGGTCCTCTAGTGTGATTCTGAGGGATGCTTCTGTTTGATATTGACCTTGGAGTCACATAGGAGGACCTAAAAAAAAGTCTAAATGAGAATATATTTAGACACGAATAAGTGAAACTACTAGAGTTGGATAAGTTTGGTTCGGAAGAGCCGACCAAGGGCAAGATGGATGGATGGTATCCTTGAAGTGACTGGCTTGACTTTGAAGGAACTGGAGGTGGCCACAGCTAACAGGGAGCTCTGGCGTGGTCTGGTCTACGAGATCATGAAGAGTTGGAAGCAACTGAACGGATAAACAACAAACATACTTGTAGTTTCCTTCCCCTTTCTTTTTCTGTTGTGTCATTTTCAGTTGTAAACCCAGAGCAGGAATTCTCTTGTATAATTTTCTGGATATGCTGCCTGCTCTGAGAACCTTTCTATGCTGTAGATCGAGGACAGAAGTGCTATAAATATGTACAAACAGCAAGAAAAGCTGGTGTGAGGAAGCTGCTCATTCCTTTCCTTCTTCATCAGATGATCTTCCTGGTTCATACAGAGACTCTGTAGAGTCTACAGCTTTCTCCATAGTAATGATACATTTTCTCCCTCTAATAACCCCAAAGCCTGCAAATGATGCTGTGCATGACATGATTGCCTATGGTGTCATGCTGGGAAATGATGATTCATGTTGCCCCGTGCCAACCCAAACCTTGATGCCAAGAGCTCTTGGTGATCACTGTAATTTGCTGACAGTTGGGTAATTGCCTGCTTTGCACTTGCACTCCATCTGATCATCTGAAATCAATGCAATGCCTCTGTTAACTACTGAGATGTAGGAAAAAGAGCATATGGGAACTAAAAGGAGAAAATTAATTACTGTTTAATTATTTGCAGCATTATTTGTTGAAGTGTAGCAAACGTGCAGCCAATATAAAAGAAGAGGGGGATGTGTTAACAGCGGAGTTCTATCTCAGTTCACCTGCTGCAAAATTCTATCAGTTAAAGAATGATAGGTGGCTATCAATCTCTTCTTATACAGAGCAGTCCTGATTGGGGCTGGGAGGGAGTGAGGAATTGATCCTGCTTTCAAAACCCTGCCAGTTTGGGGAACCCGGCAAAGCAGGAAATGGCTGCTGTGATGGGCCTGAGAGCCAATTATCTGTCCCTGGCACCTTCTGAAGGCCACACAGGTTACCAATTTCTTTTATAAAAAGAATAATGGAGAGAGAAGAACACAGAAATAGTCAGATTTCTACTTTTGGGTTTAAATAATTTGTTTCTCAGTGGGATCCTGCAATGTATTTAAAAGTTTCATCACCTAGAGCAATGTTTTCCAACCTGCCTAATGCCGCAACCCCTTAATACAGCTCCTCATGTTGTGGTGACCCCCAACCATTCACTGGACCAAATTTGGCACAAATACCCGATATGCCCAAATTTGAATACTGGTGGGGTTAAGGGGGATTGATTTTGTCATTTGGGAGTTGTAGTTGCTGGGATTTATAGTTTAAAGAGCATTATGAACTCCACCAACGATTTGAACCAGACTTGGCACACAGAACTCCCATAACCAACAGAAAAATTTGGAAAGGTTTGGTGGGTACTCACCTTGAGTTTTGGAGTTGTAGTTCACCTACATCTAAAGAGCACTGTTAACTCAAACAATGATGGATCTGGAGCAAACTTAGCACGAATACTCAATATGCCCAGATGTGAAAACTGGTGGAGTTTGGGGAAAATAGGCCTTGACATTTGGGAGTTGTAGTTGCTGGGATTTATAATTCATCTACAATCAAAGAACATTCTGAACCCCACCAACGATAGGATTGACCCAAACTTCCTCCACACAAAACCCCCATGCCTTGAAGGGACTCATTGGCACGAATCTCTCTCCATCCTCACATGCTCTCCCTCGCCATGCGCCAAGCACATGTGCTCTCCCCTCCCTGCCTGGTGTCTCAGAAACAGCCTTCCTCTTGGCTGAGAGTCTGGCCAATCACAGCAGAGGAGGGCTTTTGGTGGGATGATTCACCGTCTGTTTCCAAAAAGGAAGAGAAGGACAGGCAGAGAGATAATTAGCCTTCTCTGCCAAAGGGGTTCCTAAGACCATTAAAAATATATGTTTTCTGATGGTCTTTGGTGACCCCTCTGAAACCCGCTCGTGACCGCTCCAGGAGCCTCGACCCCCAGGTTGAGAAACGCTGATCTAGAGGCTTCCCATAGAGGCTGGAAGGAAGTCTGAAAGGGTCAGCCATTGGTGGACATGGCAGGCTCTCTTTTGCCCAACCCCTACAATAAGGAGTTGGGATTGGATTTGACTTTTAATTTGCCCTTCAAGAGGCAACACAAAGGAGAATGTTGCTTCCAGGTCCATCCCAACTTTAGGTTAATGACATAGCCTTGGATGCAGTGGATCTAAGATTCATTCCAGCCATTGTTGTGATCTACCATTGGCAACTGATCATTGCCTAGTGAAATTTATTTCTTGTGTTACTGGTCCATGTCCCATCTCCACTGGCAAGCCCACTAATTTTGCATCATAACCCTATCCAGTTTTACATCTATGGATATATATATATATTCCGTGTCAGCAGTGACTTGAAAAATGGTAAGTCGCTTCTGGTGTGAGAGAATTGGCTGTCAGCAAGGATGTTGCCCAGGGGACACCTGGAGGTTTGATGTTTACCATCCTGTGGGAGGCTTCTCACATGTCCCCGCATGGGGAGCTGGAGCTGACAGAGGGAGCTCACCTGCACTCTCCACGGATTCAAATCTCTGACCTGTCAGTCTTCAATCCTGCTGGCACAAGGATTTAACCCACTGCACCACTGGGGGCTCAATCTGTGGATATGAATGGATTGTATAAGAAAACTGATTTTTTAATAAAAAATATGTTTATTGTAGTTTTGCTTACAAACTTTTAAAAACAATAGAATTCTTAGAAAGAGGAAAGGGAAGATAGTAGATAGGTGTGGGAGTCGGCAAGGGTAGGCTTGGGGTAGGGGATGAACGCATTCGATTTTTTAAAGCAAATAAAGCATAACACATTTTCAAGATAATTTTAATGTTGAAACATTAAAATGGAAATATCATCACTGATGTAACAAGCCTTCAACTGTAAACTTGCTTGTGTTCATAAACGGATGTTCTTCTATTCTGTTTAAACTTATAAATAGCTATTCAGTGAACATGCAATAAATTGACTTCTTCACACATAATGACCAGAGTGCTGTTGGTTAATCCCAGTTAGAACAGACTTACCAAACCAATTGCTGAATGGTGAGTCAATATGTAAGCAAATCCAATAAGTAGAGGAATAATATTTATTATCTGTTTATTCCCCCCTCCCCTTTATAGGACATCAGTTTCCTCCAATTGCAGTGCAAGATCTTCAGGCTGTTTTAAAATCTGGGTATCTGGAGAAACGCAAAAAAGGTAAATGAACACAGGCAAATTATGCCTTATTTTGGTGAGAGACGTTTCCAGCAAATGGAATGCTAAATGGGTTCCAAAGGTTCCAAAGACTACAGCCAAAAAAGATAGCTCACTTTCTTTTGAGAGTTTCTGCAAAGAACCGAGTTATAGGTTGCTGTGCATTTTCTGGGCTGTATGGCTATGTTCCAGAAACATTCTCTCCTGATGTTTTGCCCATATTTATGGCAGGCATCCTCAGACCTCATAACCTCTGAGGATGCCTGTTATGGATGTGAAACATCAGGAGAGAATGCTTCTGGAACATGGCCACACAGCCTGGAAATCTCACAGCAATCCAGTGGTTCTGGCTATGAAAGCCTTCGACAAAGCTATGAAATTATATTTATGTACTACGACCTTTAATTTCACCTTTCAGACTAAGTCAAAGTGATTCCATTTTTTAAAACATTGTAACAATAACAATTTTCATGTTTAATTGTTCTTTTGTCCAGATATTCCATTCCACTTTTTAATTGGTCATAGCAGACTGTAGCATGGACTGAATTGTGGAGTGGTATTCTAATTTAATGTACATTGTGTTTGTTGCAGACTACAGTTTTCTTGGCTTTGAGTGGCAGAAACGATGGTGTGCTCTGAGTCGAAATGTTTTCTACTATTACGGAAGCGACAAAGGTATTGTAAAAGCTTATGGTTTATCTTAGGACCCCACACATGCATTTTAGCCATTGACTGTTTGCAGACCTTAAGGGTCACTCTGTCTTGATGCAAACCGGATTTACGCCTAGCATTCCTTGCTTCATATAATGCTCTATTTCCAGATGGTGTAAATATACCTTGTCTTATCATTTCTGTTGTTTCCATTGGAATTTCAGATAGCCTTCATTTTTCTGAACTTTGGTCAGTTTTCAACATGACCCTGACACTATCTTCACTTGGTTTCCTTTTGTATATTTCTTCCACTTCCCTTAGTCCCTTGCAAATCCGAAAATGGTGTCAAGGCTTTGCACCTATTAACTATTCTTTTGTCCATGTTTACTTCCATCTGGAACTAGTGACTGTCATGATTTTGCAGAGCATTTTAAGTACAGTTGACAGTATTACAGTGTTTATGAGTAAGTATGTATTTCCTTCCATATTAAACAACAAAATACAGTTCTTGGTAAAACGAAGGCATCTTATTTCGCAACTATAATTTTTTAGGTTAGATTATATATATGGTTGAAGGATCTCAGTTACCCAAAATATCTAGGAACTCTGAATGAAGGAGATAAATTTGCAGCAGCTTTAAAACTGGAGGCAGTTGAAATGTTGGTGTAGGAAAACAATAAGGATCATTATCTACAAGGAAGCAGAGTAGGTCTTTTTCTTGTGCACATTTGTAGGAGCCCCTGTTGGCGCAATGGGTTAAACCCTTGTGCCAGCAGGACTGCTGACTGAAAGGTTGGCAGTTCAAATCTGAGGAGCAGGGTGAGCTCACATCTGTCAGCTTCAGCTTCTCGTGCAGGGACATGAGATAAGCCTCCCACAGGATGGTAAAATATCCGGGCGTCCTCTGTGCAACATCCTTGCAGACGGCCAATTCTCTCACACCAAAAACGACTCAAGTCACTCCTGACATGATAAAAACACATTTGCATCCTTCCAAATCATCACATCACCATTTATTTTTTAACCATTAATAATAAACCATTTACCTCTACTTGTGTCTGCTTTCCACCATTTCCGTGTTATGCCAGCTGGCTTTATCTGGTATTTGTAAAACAGTCTGTGTGCTCTGAAATGTCACTTTTCCGTGCTTTTGAACTTGCTTAAAGATAATTTCCAGAGTTTTCATAGTTGGAAGTATAGTAGAGAAAGATTATTCACTTCTTTTGCCTTCAGCCACGAAGAGGTAGGTGGATTTGGGCAAGATCTAGTCTGATTTAGGCTAAGACACCCCATTAAGGTTTCGGAGATGAGCTGGGAAACATGGAGCCTATATATTTCTCCCCCTAAATCTCTCCTGTGTTTTTTGTTTCTGTCACTGACAATGGGAAGAGTAAATTTAAACAAGCACAATAGATGATGTTGCATTGCTTTTATTACTGACATAATCTTCAAGCCACAGCAAACACCTTAATTTACCGTGTCCATGGCCTCTGGAGCATGATTGGACTTGTAAGAGCCTTAACTCTTTATTTCAACTATAATATACTGTATTTCTTCCATTCTAAAATCTGATGATTTTTAGTACCAACAGAAAAAAGCTTATTACACACACGCGCACGCACACACACACACACAGGCAATCCCCAGGTTATGAATAAGATAAGTTCTGTAGGTTTGTTCTTAAGTTGAATTTGTATGTAAGTTGGAACAGGTACATTTTAAAGTGTAACTCCAGTCTGTTTTTAAAAGTTTTGGATAGCACAGAGAACAGTTAACACACTTGTAATATTTGTTTTACCTTCTGTTTCCCTGTTGAGAAGATTTCACCTCACTTTGTGTCCCTATGACATTTGGATTTTGAAAATTTAATTTTTGAAGGGCAGTTCTTCCTGCCTAATGCTCCCTGTGTGTCTTGCATCTGAAGCCTCATTCAGGAAATACTTGATCAGGTGTTTACCAAATATCTTTTAACTACCAGATATTAGGGACTGTTCCTTGTAAAAGTGTTACCAATTATAGTTTTGGAATGTAAAGTCAACAGATTACAGCAAGGAAATGTGGTTTTAAACAGCCATGGATATCTAGCCTTCCAAGGTGAACTCGGGTTGTCCAGATCTAACCTAAAGTTCAATCCACCTCTGTTTGGTTTCCTTTTATTATAAGGTAGCCAAGCATGGCAGCCATCACATCTTCAATACTAGGAGTAGCACTGATCTCTCCTTTTCAATCTCTATTAGACAACCACATGTGAAATTTTCATAGCTCCAATCTCTGTGTATGTGTACAGGCAATCTCCAAGTTACAAACATCTGACTTACAAACAACTCATAGTTAAGAACAGGAGTGAGATAACAGGAAATGAGAGGAAATCTATCCTTAAGAAGGGGAAGTCACTCCTGAAAAAGTTGTCATGGGGGAAAGGTGTCTCTGCTGATGCTTTTTCACCAATCCTAGTTTCCACAACAAGCCAAATTTTTCAAAATCCAATGATCACAGGGACAGAAAGTGAGGGGAAATCTCCTGAACAGTGATCTCTAATCACATTAAGCAAAACAAACACACAGGTGTGTTAACCCTTCCCTTTGCTATCCAGAGCTTGTTTGTGTGTTTGTATATATGTATGTGTGTGTGTGTGTATATGTGTGGGTATACACACACACACACACACACACACACACACACACACACACACACACTATCTGAAGTTACACTTAAAAAATGTACCTGTTCCGACTTCCATACAAATTCAACTTAAGAACAAACGTGCAACCTAACTTGGGGACTGCTTGTATTTTGATCCATCCCTGAAGTTATATTCATTGCAAACTCATCACTGTGTGTGTTGGTTTGCATGAACAAAAGTCATAATAAAAATAAATAAATATAATAAAAATAAATGTATTTTGAAAGCCATAGTTTCTTTAGAGTTGATCCATAGGTAAACAACAACTTTTACAGTGACTGTAAAAGTGAAGGGGGAAGATGTAGCAGGTAAACCAAGTAGTTTGTTCTTCTTCATTGGGCAGGTTTTTCCTCTGGCTAGTGAACCAGAGAGGTAGAGACACACTGATTTATGGTACATTTCTCCTGCATGTTCCAGGTTCCAGTTTTTGGCTCTCCCCGAGGTACAGGAGTCATTGGATGCACTTCCTGCTAAACAAGACCATCTGTAAGCGTGGCCTTGTGGGATTCTATCGGCATCCGTCATAGGATTGTACTTAGTGTGTCCCTTCTTAAAGAAGAATTTTATCTCCCAAAACATCACATGAGCCAGTCAGCTAATAATGTCTAACCCATTCTCTCGCATATTCATGAAAGGGAAAGAACCAAATCTGAATAAATGATAACCCAGTGGGCCATTCACGTGCAACGTTGCAAATGAAGTTCTATCTTTGCTTTTTATCTGCGACAGACAAACAACAGAAAGGTGAATTTGCTATAGATGGCTACACCGTCAGAATGAATAATACCCTTCGTAAGGATGGAAAGAAAGATTGCTGTTTTGAAATCGCTGCTCCTGATAAACGCATTTATCAGGTTGGACTTTTTATGTCGTCTTGAAATTAAATTGATAAAACTGTTACTGTTCCAGTTATGGAGACATTAACATTTCAATATAACAACCCCGATATACCAGAGGAGAAGAAGTAACTCCCTTTATTTGCTTTCCCTGTATATTCATAATAGATTCTTTAAACAAAAGCAATTAGATTAAATTCTAGTATTATCTTTTTGAATAAGAAGAATATCCTATATGTCAGTTTTATCTATCTGTCCCTTTCACTTGTTATATTTCAATATCTATTATCTAATAGGTCTTCTTGATTTCTTGGCTGAATAATATTGTAGAACTATTGAGGATATATATATATATATATATATATATATATATATATATATATATCATACAAGTCTTTAATATGTATTGTATTACTTAGAGGTCTAGGAGGGAACTCAATGTTAAAAGCACATATCAACAATGCGGTTCAGGAATCTATCAGCTAGACATCAAAGTGGAATGTAACTTTAATAAGTTTTAAATATCTGAGATTGCAGTTGAAAGCCAGTTAATTAAGTTGTCAGATACTGTGTTGGATTCTGACAAGAACATTTTTAAGAAAACTGTACCCAGCAGTCTAAAGAAATTCATGGGTGTCTTCTAATTGTCAAGGGCGAATTTTGTTCATCAGTCCTGCGCTTGACATTGATGAAGGGAAGCAGCTTTTTTTTCCAGCACAGCTGCCAGCTGCTGATCAGAGTTTCATATCCATCATCCTACGCTTCAATTACGTAAATTTGTCAAAATTAACGGGACATTATAAGAAGCATCCTTGCAAGAAAAGTACCAGAAGACATGTAAAGAATTACTAATGGTGCCTTGAAGAAGTAATAAGAAATGCTGCTTTCTTTGCATTACAGTTATGATGCTGGTTGTTATTTTTTTATATTCTTGTGATCACTCCTAGTAAAACTAAGTTTCTGAACAGTTTACAGCTGCTACTCCTAAAGAAGCTAAGGAATGGGTACAGAGCCTCAGGTTTGTCCTGCAAGGTATGCCACTTGATAAAAAAATATATTTTGTTTATATAATGCATTTATAAAGCTTTTTTGCTTTCTCACACAATTTGCTGTGATTTATCTTAGAATGGCACTGCATTGCTTTGACAGTGCAATTCATGAGTGTGTTTTTAGAGGTGGGGAATAAGGAGTCCTCTCCATGTTTGGTAGTAAAATTCACTGGAGTGCTCTTTAGTTAAAGTGCTAACTGCATTTCTAAAAATGAAATGGAATTTTGAAAAAAATTATTTCTATTTTCATGGAATTTCTAAATAATGCCATTGGGAGTGAATCAATATACCATAATTGGTTCTAAAACTGAAGTCTACTGTTATCTAACTCTTCTTGAATTCCTCTTAACAGACATGGGGTCTGAAGTTATTCCAGAAGAGGAATATGAAGATCTTGCAGATGCTGTCATGCCTCCTCTCCAGAAAAACGAACCAGTGGATGATGACATTTATGAAGAGCTGCCAGGTATTTTTAAGGCATTACATAATGGCTATACATAATGAAGGTCCAAAGAGACAGGGAAAAGTGCAGTTTAGCAGACAGGTCCGGGATGCGAAAGACTTGGGTTGAGTCAAAGAGTGTCTGCTTCAATTCCATATAGACTTCTCTGACAGATGCCAAAATTGTGTGGCATCTAAAGAAGAATTTGTGATATTTTCAAGAACCAGGTCTGAATCATTTCTTGGTTAATAAGAGCATTGGAATTAGGCAGGAATTGTAAAAATGCTCTCTTGAGATTATTGGTTCATTAGCATAATCTCTATTGCATTATTATTTAATTAAAAAGTGACGTGCCTTATCGTTTGTCCCACTGATTCATTTGCTCATGTTTTTCCCATTTATTTATCCTGTCATTTGCATTAACCACATGTTCTCTATGCTCTTAGCCATTCCTAATATATGATATCATATACCCTGAAAAAGAACAGGGGTGTCTTGAGTAGGAAGAAACTTTGGTGATGAACTGTAAATAAACACTATAGGATGTGGTTTGACTGTTTTCCTTCTTAGTCTGATTATACTTTGGTTTCTTACTTACTATGATCATTGTAGTTGTTTTATTTACATTTAGACAACCTGATGTAATTCCTATCAGATCTTTCCTTTGATGCCCAGAGAGGGTTAAAATGGCAGGAGAAGTTTTGTAACTGTATAAAATTCCATTGAAAGGAAAGATTGTATTGTGTAAAACACAAGATCTTAAATAAAGAGAAAAGCAACACTTTCGCTCTAAAGATAATACTGTAGTAAAATACTGTTCCAAGAGCAGAGAAAGTTATTACTCAGAAGCTTAACTGGACAGTGTAAATCACAGAAATGTCTAATGCATGCTAGAGGATTTTCAGTCTTCAGAAAATATTGAGTATATATAAGAAATGAGGCAGACTCTAAAACATTGTTTCTGACAGATAGCTTCAGGAAGCCTTTAGTGCTTATTTCATTATTCTCTAAAATAATCATTTTGCTATAAAAAGCTGGGATGTGACTGTTGCCTGACCCTTGAAAAAGACAACTGATTTGAAGAATACATCTTTATGTGTTGAGCATTTGTCCCTGAACCCATGATCCCCCAAATTTGTGATACTACAATTTCCGTTATCCCCATCCACCATGGACAATGACCATTCAGTCTGGGAATAATGAGAGACTTTGTCCAGCACATATGGAGGGCAGCATATTGGAGAAGTCTGGTTTATATTATACATGTCTTAGGCCTAAATCCATTGTTAATCCCAAATGGAGAGGACCTATTGATTCAATGTGTAGTTATGCCATTTTCAGTTATTCCCTAGTTGGGAATAAAACTTGGATTTAGGCCTTGGTTTTTAAGACTGCAAAGGACTCTTTGTTTTCTGGTCTGATTCAAGGTTGTGCCTCTGGGCCTCCATCTTCTCTTCACAAAGATTTCTTATGCTTTATATTTAATATTTTCCCCAAAACTGAAACCAAGATGGTTTATGAAATAAAATATATTCAATGTGGTCAAAAACTTTTATTTGGAACCCTTGATCAACTTAGAGGATCATGCCATTATCCAAGAATGCTGAAAACATAGTATTTTAAATTGTCATCTACTAAACTGCTCACTTTGATCTTGGACTGTTAGATGAAGAAGCTAATCTATTTATTTCTTCCTCTAGTTGTATCTGGGTTTTTGTTAACCAGGGTAGGATGGGGACAAGTAATTACTCTGGCAATAATGCCAATATTTACATGTCATCTCCAGGAATCAGCTCAGCCAAAGTTATTCTGGAGTTCTCTCGCCATTTCCTACAGTTTCATTCCCTTTCAAATAAGGTCCCATCTCACACCATAAAATCCAGTGTGTAAAATAAGCAGTGAGTTTTATTAGGTAAGAGTAAGAGTAAATGGAATGAGGTTAAGCTAGAAATTATCACAGAAATGTCATAATGAAGCATCGTTTCTAATGGTCTGCCTTGTAAATTGGCATGAAGGATGGATGCATGTTTAGGAACTTATTCTGCATTTCGGATTTCAGCCCTAGATTAGCTCCCACCCAGGTTTCAGTTGTAGGAATACTTGAACAATGGACACTACTGTTTATATGTCACTTTAGTGTTTTGAAGAGTTCAAGCACTAGCTTTGTCATGAATCCAAAGAATTGTATGACTAATTCCACTTTTCCTAAGAGCACTGACTGTCCCTAGTGAATTCCCTCTCCCCTTCATATATTAATCTGTCACCATCTCCCAGTGCTTCATGGCAAACTTATTTTGAAGGGACTTTCCAATTTGTGATTAGGAACATGTTTCAGACGGCACTTCTGTCTTTCAAAAGAAGGGGGGGGGGGAACTATTTCAGACACACTCAGACCCCTAGGATTCAGAAGTATCTTCTCAGCCTAGCACAGGTAATATGTTTTTAAAATATTGAATAAAAGGCATTATAATTTCATTGTACAAAACCACTCATCATAAAACTTGATTTTCTACTTACACTGGACTTTCTTAGACTCAACAATTTCCCCCCAACATGTATATTTTATCACTTGGGCAAATAAAACAATAATTGCCCCATTTGTCATAGGCTGTATCGGATCGCATTTGCCCTGCGTTTTGCCAAGTAATACATAGTTCTGCCACCATAAACTGTTCTATGCCTGGAGGAACCTCTGCTCGGCTTTCCTTTTTACAAAATGTTTCCAGGGAGTATTACTTCACTGTTCACGCTGACCTTTGCAGGATTTCAGGCCCAAACCCCAAATGTCAGCAATAATTGGACTTTGGCATCAGTCACAAATGTAATAAAACCTGTGACATTTGCAGCTTCAGTCCATAAGCGTGTTTGTCTCCAAAGGAGTTTTTGTGCCAACAGGTGCAACAGTATATTCATACTCCTCTCGAAACAGTGCATTCATATAACATCATTGTGACACAATGAATTCAACACTTAGTAAAGTTAATTTTAGGGACTGCTACTCTTGGAATCCTCCTACTCACATGGCCACATGTTGCCACGCTGATTGGTGAAGCCTAAGACGTAGTAGTGCAAAAAGCAATCTTTTCAAATTCTGGGTAATTCACCAGTGTGGTCCCTTGCATTTGCTGTAAAACATGGTAGAGCACCTGTAAACTTTAGCCTTTTGGAAGCTACACATGAGCAGTTGTGTTTAAAACTTTTCCTCTATACTAAGTTTCTTATTATAGATGTTGATTTGAGATCCTCATACCCAAATATGGTTGTCATGTGAGTTAGATGTTCAAATTTTGTACAGTGAACGTATGTAGGAAAATAGGCCATCCTCTCCAACTGGCATGCATTTAATGTAAGGAACAAAACTCAATGTGTGTACAATTCAATATGGATAATAGGTATTCCTGCCTGCACAATTGAGAAAACTGTTTCATTGCATTCTGCAGCCCTTATCAGATGACTTTGTAATACTGAAAGTTGTAGTTGAATCCCCTTGCAACTCTTTTACTAAGTACTGCCTATGTGTTCATGGAATCACAGACAACATGACACAGACCACAAGGGTCATGCTGTCAAACCCCCTGCTATGCAAGGATATGCAACCAAAGCTCTCCCAGCAAATGGCATTCCAGCCTCTGCTTAAAAATGTCAAGAAAAGGAGATTTCCCCACACTCCAAGGCACTGTCAAAACAGCTCAGAAAGTATTGCCGAAGGCTTTCATGGCCAGAATCACTGGGTTGTTGTAGGTTTTTTGGGCTGTATGACCATATTCTAGAAGCTCAGGAAGTTCTTCCTATGTTTAGGGTGGCATCTCTTTTCCTGTCATTTAAGGCCTAGTTTCTAGAGCAGCAAAAAACAAGCTTGCTCTCTTCATGACTATCATGTCATCTCTTATTCTATCTAAACATACACAGCTCCCTAAGATACTCCTCATAGGGCATGGTTTCCAGATGTTTTACCTTTCTGTTTGCCCTCCTCTGGATATTATTATTTCCCTCCTCCTAAATACTGTACTTTGATACAGCCCAGAATCACATTGGCTTTTTTAGCTGCACATCATGCTATTGACCCATGTTCATGTTGTTGTAGTGGAATAAATATTATTATGGGGCAGATCAACAGTAATGGTACTTTTATGTAGTCCAAATCATCTTGTATCACCTGAACAGTACAAGCAAAAGCCATGCATGAGGAGGTATTTTGCGTTGGCAAGTGTTTTAGTGTCTCAGTAACCCACCTTAGCATTTTGTGACTTCAAATCCTCCCCACCACCACCACTACCACCCTTTGAAACTGACCCTTGTATAGAAAAACTACAGATTCCATCACATTACACTGTTTGACTTTTAAGGAAGGAAGAAAAATGATCAAGCATTTTCACATCTCCACAAATTTTCTTTGTATTAAAATCCGATATCTTATTACTAGTACTGATCAGTCATTCTCTTTATGGCTTTCAATGGACCAACATGAAAGCATTTTGACACTATTGATTTGTAAAGCCAATACGATGTGACCGGTATGTGACAGACGTTGGCTGCAGCTATCGAGAGAGAGAATCCCATGCTGGAGAATCTTGTCATCCTAGGGAGGCAAAAGTAATTTTACTTATATCAGAGCCTTTTCACTGTTGACTACATTTTTGACAGCTGTAACACATTAACAACATTTTGTTTATTCATGACTATCTTTGGCACATTACGTACCTAAAGCAGAATGTTTCTGAATCTTCATACAAAGTTGTTTTCTTCCGTGACATTCCTGTCTATGACTGAGAAGTGGTGTGATCTTTAGTTAAGCAGTAGTTCACTAAACCTAGTTCTCCAGAATCCAGGACATTTTTTTTAAAAAATATTTATCATATCAGAAGCAAATTGAGAATACAGTTATAATGCATAAGAAACCACAAACAAAGTAAAAAACTTGACATTATGCTAAATTTCCTTTGACCAGAAGCTGGCCACTTGGAGTGCCTCTGGTGTCACTGTATAAAGGTCCTCTGAGTCCTGCATGTGGCAGGACTCAGAAA